TCCTCCTCCTCCTCCTCCTCCTCCTCCTCCTCCTCCTCCTCCTCCTCCTCCTCTCCTCCTCCTCCTCCTCCTCCTCCTCCTCCTCCTCCTCCTCCTCCTCCTCCTCCTCCTCCTCCTCCTCCTCCTCTCTTGAGAGACAAAGAATCGGTAATTGTACACTATTTTTTTTTCTTCTTTTATGATCATAACAGCAGGCTATTTTTCACCCTAATGTACCCCATTCCTATCGCTTGAAAAATGGTTGAAACGGTTTTGTAATTTAATTGCTCGTTTCGAGGTAACTAGCGGGGCGTGCGTGTGAGTGCATAGAAGTGTGTGTGTGCGTGTGTTTGTGTGTGTGGGGGGGGGTAAGGGAAGTGAGGGGGAGTGTGTGTGTGGGGGAGGGGGGGTGGAAGTGTATGTGCGTGTTTTGTGTGTGCGTGTGTGGGGGGGGGCGAAGTGTGTGTGTGTGGAAGTGTGTATGTATGTTTATGTGTGTGTGTATGTGTGTGTTTGTGTACGTGCGTGTATTGCAATCATCAATAACATTACTCTTATTTCATTACTATCACCGTAACCACATAACTACCTACTCTTCCAGTTTGAATTTTTGAATTTCCCGCGCTAACCGTCCCGTGCGGAATTTTCCCTTTTCTCGGCCAATTTAACCTCCCACGAGCAAAAAAATAAAATAAAATAAAAATAGGTCTCTTTGATGCATAAGAGAAACTGTGTTGATATTTCTCATTTTCCGACGAAATTTCAATCGGATTTAAGAAGTCATTGAAGCATTTAGGAAGTGAAGAGGTATTGCCGTGTTTCCTTGCTCGCTGTCATTGTTTTTTTGGTCTCTTTCTCTTTCTCTCTTTCTCTCTTTCTTTCTCTCTTTCTCTCTCTTCTCTCTCTCTCTCTCTCTCTCTCTCTCCTCTTCTCTCTCTCTCTCTCTCTCTCTCTCTCTCTCTCTTCTCTCTCTTCTCTCTCTCTCTCTCTCTCTCTCTCTCCTCTCTCTCTCTCTCTCTCTCTCTCTCATCCCTCCCTCCCTCCCTCCCTCCCTCCCTCCTTCCCTCCCTCCCTCCCTCCCTCTCTCTCTCTCCTCCTCTCTCTCTCTCTCTCTTCTCTCTCCTCTCTCTCTTTCTCTCTCTTCTCTCCTCTCTCTTCTTCTTCTCTCTCCTCTCTCTCCTCTCTCTCTCCTCTCTCTCTTCCTCCCTCCTCTCTCACCTACTCGCTCTCTCTCCCTCTCCTATCTGCCTTCTCTCTCTCTCTCCTCTCCTCCCTGTCTCCCTCCTCTCTCTCCTCTTCTCTCCTCTCTCACTCTCTCTCTCTCTCTCCTCTCTCTCCTTCTCTCCTCTCGTCTCTCTCTCTCATCTATAATTGCATATTTCTCTTCTCTTAATTGCATTTTATTTTTCTTCGTAAATGGTAACACCGTACAAATTTAATGGACCGGAAGTTGGTGACTCCCTGTTTGTACAGCCGTTTGGAACGTTAATTAGTTCGAAAGCAGTAAAAGGAAAACAAATATAAAACAAGAAAGAGAAAGAAAGAAAAGAGAAGCGCACACACACACACGCACACACAACAACACGGCACAACACACACATACAAACATACAATGCACACACACGCACAAACAAACAAATACACATACACACGCCACACACACACCACCACACACACACTCACTCACACACACGCGCACACACACACACACACACACACACACACACACACACACACACACACACACACACACACACACACCACACCACACACACACACACAACAACACACACACACGCACAAAACCAAACACACACACAACACAAACAAACACATACACACACACAAACGCAAAAACAAACACATACACACACACGCACAAACAAACAAATACACATACACACACACGAACACAAGCTTATGTACTGCTTATCAAAAACTTTCGCTAATAGTACTGGAAGTACGATAGACCGAAATATAGTAAAAAAAAAAAAAAAAAAAAAAAAAAAAAAAAAGTTAATTGCAAGTGGCAAATAATAATTCTTTACGGTGCCTGTTTATGGAAATTTCTTTAAATATATTTCATTGACACGCGGTGAAAAAGATTTTTTTTTATTCTTTTTATTGAGACTGATTTCTCTTTTTTTTCTTTTTTTGTTTATTTTAAATATAAATATTCTTTAAATATATTTCATTTACACGCGGTGGAGATTTTTTTTTGGTTGAGACTGATTTCCTTTTTTGTCTTTTTTTTTTTTGTCTATTTTATTGGAAAAGGGAAATATATTTGTTGTTTCTGCGAAGCGATGTTGCTTTAATGCTTTCCTTTATTTTTTTGTTATTATTTTTTATTTGTCCTGCTGGTAACTTTTAAAAGGGATTTCGAATATTGATAAGGTTTCGTAACGTTGATCGTTTTGGTTCTGTATTTAAAATCTCTCCATCTTCTCCTTTCCTATTTTTTGGTCTCTCTCTCCATTTCCTTTCTCTCCGCCCTTCTCTTTCTACATCCTCTTTTTATCCTCCGCAACCCTCTAATCCTTTTTCTCTCTCTGCTCAGTCTCTTGTCTGATCTCTCTCTCTCCCCTCATCTCTCCACCCCATCACCTCCCATCTCCGTCCCCCTCCCTCGATCCTCTCTTCTCTCCTCTCCTGTCTCTCTCTCTCTCAGATCTCCTCACAAGTCTCTCCTCTCTCTCTCTCCGTCTCTCCCTCTTACGCTTATTCACCCATCTCTCTCCTCTCTCCCTCGTGCGAC